CAGCAACAATGACTAAGGCTACGATTTAATCACAGGTATTTTTAGTAAAAGTCTTGGACAGGTCACGGGCAAGAAACAAAAAATCATGGTCTGTCACCTGTCCATGACTTATACCATAAATACCCCTGATTGAATCTTGGGGGTGGAGGGTGCTGCTGCAGGGGGGGATGGGGAGAGGCCCAGGGGGGGCCAGCGGCTGCTCTAGCTGCCACCTGGGGGAGGGAGCCTCCAGCTGCCCCAGGACTGCTGCCAGGAGCTGCCGAGCTGCAGCTGCTCCGGCCGTCCCCGGGACCACTGCTCGGGTGGTCCCTGGGGCCAGCTGCCCAGGGCCGCCAGAACAGTGGCTGGTGCAGCTGGCTGTAGGGCCACCCGGGCGGCTGGCTGCAGATCTGCTCCAGCAGTGGCCGGTGTGGCTGTCTACAGGGCTGCCTGAGCAGCTGGCTCTGGGGCTAGCTGCTTGGATGGCCCTGGGATCAGCCACACTGGCCACTGCAGAAGTCACGGAGGTTGCAGGAAGTCACGGAATCCATGACTTCCGCCACCTCCATGACAAGCCCAGAGCCCTAACAATGACCAAGCTAATTCAAGCAAAACTACTACAGATCATAATAAATAAATGGGATGAATGACAAGATCCAAAAGGGAGGCTAAAAATGATGGTGGTAAATTTTGAATAGAATTTCCCAATAGAAGTCTCAATGTAATTTATGTGACTGGAATATTCAGAAAAGGGAGAAATTAAACATATCTACCAAGAGGAAAAAAACATTTGATTTTCTTTGACTACTGTTGGCTTTTAGACAAGGCATGCAGTCAATCAGCCAAACAGAAGGTTCTGAACAGAAATATATTCTGATATGCAGCAATTCTGTTAACAAATTTGGTGTTATTTTGTTCTTTACCATTTTAATTTCAAACTGATGCTAATACTGTCAGCTCTGATTCCTTTCCCCCAATATCCATCAAGCCCTGCTAACTGCACACGCATACATCCCACTGTGATTGTAGAGGAGGATTTCTACAAGAGGTTGAGAGCTTCCACTGTTCCTGAAATCTTGGCCAGCCCAGGAAAATGTAAAACAAAGCCATGCTGGAGAGTTAAAAATTCTAAGGCCATTTTGGATCCTCTAACGGACAACTAGGCATCCATTTTGTAAGCCCTTCTTGTCCCCTCCTCACTCTGAATTTGGTGCCTTTTTATTTAGGCGGGAAAAGATGGTTACTGTCATCAGCTAATCTGCCTAGCAACCCTATGTCTATATAAGGGCGGTGCTCAGATTAGATCCAGGCTGCCCACCAGATTGGCAGAGTTTTGTTGCTGTCTGTTTGGGGCAGAGCAAGTGGCTGAGGGTTAACAGGGTAGGCCATTCACCCCACAAGGGTCATCTTAAGCAGGGAATATACTTACCTACACGCACCTAATCCATCTCCTATAGTGATTGCTTGTCCCACGCATGACGACGCAGGTAAAGGGAGGGGGAGGGATTTACCTAAATACTCTCTGCCTTGAGGTCCTATCTCCATCTGAGGGATCCAGCATTCTGTCGTGCTGCATCCGTTGTGAAGAGGAGAAGACACCATCAAATCAAGCTGCCAGAGATGGTAGTGTCATTGTCATTTTGATCCTCGTATATAGATCCCTATTGATAAGCCTGCCTTGTTTTATTATCCATCTCACCTTGTTACCTGGGGAGTCCTTGCCACCCCATCAATAAATCTTGTTGTACCTTTACCCCAAGCACAAACCCTCAGTGATAGATACGGGAAGGGAGGCGAACCTGAGACCCACACTCCTGGCCTCCTGTTTTGGTCAACAGTTCTGATGTAGTTACTTTTGAGGGTCATGGATTGCAACCACTGGGTCAAGGTCATGAAGATCGGTGGGGAGGGGGACTTCAACATCTCCCAGATGCTCTTGTACATAGTCTGGAAACATAATGTAGTAAAACTGTCTCGCAGAGAGCACTAGAGCATGTATCTTGTGCAAAAATCCAGAGTTTAGAAGCACCTCTCTCTGTGACATTGATGGCATGCAAAATAATGGTAGTGTCAGCCTGCTCATGGGAACTATGAAAAAAATCCATTGAACAGTGTGAGGCAGCAACTTCATTACACCATGTAACAATGAAATTCTTCTAGCCATTATTTGCGTGCTGGAATGCTTTTCCTGCAAGGTATGTGGTTAACTTGTCCTTTATGTGAGTATGAGACAGTAGCTTCTTCATGTAACATTGGAGATGTTCATGGAGTCAGTGATTTTGTATGGACAGGCACAATACCATGAAGTCTCTTCTTTCCAGTAATATTTGTAATTGATTCCCCTGCCTACATATCAAACACAAGGTAGACTTCATCATAGGCTCAGTACAATGCCTAGCACAATGGGGTCCTGGCCCAGGATGAGGGCTCCTAGCATCTACAATAATACAAATAAATGACAGTAATAACATTATTATACAGTAAATGACACTACAGTATTTTAAAGAAAAAATAACTATTTTCCCATTCTGTTATTCAAAAATAGTCACATTCTTTATTTCAATGCATCTAATCAGGAGTAACAGTTATATCTATTTTTCTTCATAATGGCATGATTAATATCTTAGAAATATTATTCTGTATAATTCCTTATTTCAGTCCTCATTTTTTGAAAAGTATTTATGAAAATGTAATTAATTTTTTAAAACTGAATTCCTTTTAAAATAAAAGTATATATTGCAAACTTCTCAGGGTAGAGACTTTGCCATTTGTTTTCTGTTTAACCTATTTTATCTGTAGTAAAGTGCCATACATTTACAGCACTATATAAATAATAATAATCATCACTTGAAAATATTTAAAACTAATGTATGCTTATCAGAATTCAATCCATATTTGTCTGTCTTGAATTGATTTTTAAGAAACTTTTAACCAGTGCATTTTAGTGATATTCATTTCATTAATTCTTTCTGAGCATGCTCTGCGGACAACAAATTTGTGAATAGAGCAAACAGTAGACTACACTATTAATCTAGTAAAGAGACTAGGCTCTCAAACACTGAAAATTTAAATCAGTGAGGGAAGATTTTTTTAAACCGATAAGCAATATTACAAATGTTTTGTTGAAACAACACAGTTTGTCATCACCAAGAGGGAGAGGATTCTATTTTTTTAAATGTCCTAAAATGAATCTCCACACAATTGTAGTGTCCTAAAATGAACCCTCCCAACAATTTACTGTTTATGAGAGAGAACCTCTATTTTTCTTAAAGCAAAATAGCTTCAATTTTTCCATTCTGTCCCACTGAAAAATTCTGTTCTATGTCATTGAACAGGGTTAAAAAGTTTATCACTGTTATCGCCCCAAATATTACTGTTTGATTTCATATGTATATAATGTAATAATAATGAGGGATGGAAAAGACCAATTACAGTATGAACCATCTCATGACTGTTTCCTATTGTACATTTGCTTGTATTTTGCCTAGTTCAGTTGGAAAGGTCCCAACCAATAGTACTTCAGCACTTGCCTTGCAAAACAACTCAGGTTAAGAGTTTATTCTAGTAAATCTCCGTCAGGATGTTTTTCTTGATTCTCAATGTACATTTTCTCTTCATCATATCCCATTATTTCTAGTTGTTTCCCATTGTAACCCTAAATAATCCTTTTCCTTCCATAGTGTTCACATCATTCAATATTTATATACTGTTGTTGACGTCACCAGGCATCACCATCACCCTAGGTAACTCGGGAGGGTGGAAAATCACAAGTGTCAATGAAGCCTTCCTGCACTAGGCCTAAGTGAACCAAACTCTATCCTTCCATGTTTAAACTCTAATCGACCTCAAAAGCCAGGTGCAATTGGAATATGTAAGCAACCAGTTATCTGTGTGCAACCTCCTGCTCACACCGGTATCAAGCGGTAATAATGAGGCCTGTATGTTTCTGGCTGAAGGGAAAAAGGACAAGATAACGGTTTAAAGAAGTTACTAACAAGCTAGGCTTATAGCTGCCAAGAATGACTTAACTGCTTAAATGTAATCGTTATTTGCTTAGTAACTATTACCAGGGACGGGAGGGGTAGAGGGAGGAATGGGGGGAGAAAGGGAGGGCTAGAGGGGGAAGGGGGGGGATGAGGCTTAACTGCAAAATGTATAAAAGAAGAAAAACTGTTTCTGTTAGTGTGCTTGATTTGAGACGTGCCAGTCTCCTTGCACCGCTTTGAGATCTCAAATAAACTTTGTTTGCTTCTCCACCTGGTGTGTTTATTGACGCGAAGCACGCCGGGCAACGAACCTGCTGTTGTTGTCCTCGGGCACTCTGTGCCAGCAACACTGTTATGCATCACTGTCCCTTTCCCTTCACCTTGTCATTGCTCAACCAGCATATTTAGCATGTTTACTCTTTTGGTTTTTAGTGCCTCTTAACTCTCTTAGTAATTCAGGTTGCATTGGTGGCAAAAGGAGTTGGAGATGGCTGTTAACTTGGGGCACAGCCTAGCTTCATCTTATGTATTGTACAGTGGGCCACGCATATTACAACGTATAATTACATAAACTGTAATTTAGATAACTTTGCTGGCATAACTTCTAGTGCAGGGACTGGTGATTAGATACCCCAGCAAGGGAGATGTGGAAAGGGGCAGTGCCACTTTCTCCTCATGCCCTTGAGAGGGGCTGGGGCTTGTCTCTGTAGGGCGGGGGGCGTGTCATGCGCCCCCCGGTGCCTTCAGAAGTGCTGCTGCCTGCTGCACCCCCGTTGTGAGGAGACACTAAGCACTGGCCAGTATTGGCCCCTAGGTCTGTGTCCCCGCCTGAGGTCTGATCACCGCCTTCCATTTTATTCTCCATCTTCCCTCCTCCCCCAGCTCTCTCACGTCTCTCGGGGACACCCGCCCCGGGCCAACCCCCTCGCGCCCCCGTGCCCGCGCGCGCCGTGTGTGTGTACGGGTGAGCGACTCAGCGAGAACGCGCGCGCACGCGCGGCGGTTGGGCCGGGAAAGAGAGAGGCGCGCGCGCGCCCCCGCGCTGCTCCGTGACCCATTTCAGTGAACAAAGGATTTTGCTGGAATCTCTCAGCGCTATACCTAAAATGGCGCCCGGCGCGCTCATCTCGGCCACCATAGAGATGAGGCGGGGCGGGCGGCTAGAGCGGCGCCGCTGGCACTTTTCTCTCGTACAGTACTTTACACACGGCCCGGCTCTGCCTCACTGGTAGCGTGAGGCGGGCGCTGTGAGCAGCGGCATGGCGGGGGAGGGCGAGCCCGACTCGGAGAAGGTAAGGGGGGGGGAGCAGAGTGGCGCCTTCTCGTGGGCTCGGCTCGTCGGGAGCCGGCGCCTCCCCGGAGCACGCGGGGGAGGGCCCTTGGCCACCCCGCTGGTGGCTGTGTCTCCCCCCCACATCTCAGCGCCGAGTCCTCCCCCCCGCTGCCGGGGCGGGTCCCTGCGGCCCCGGGGTGGGCCACGGCCC